AAATTAGATCTGTATCTATTACATGAACAAAGGTCAACTTGAAATTTATCAAAGACCTCAATGTGAAACCTGAAATCATGGAAGTGATATAAGAAAACATAGGGAATACCCTACAAAGTACAGATATAGGAAAGGATTTTCTAAATGGAACTTTATTTACTCAGGGATTAACATATGCAATCTCAGGAAACGATCAAGTGAAGGTTAAATCCTAGTAAGAGAAGATCGTTGTCATCTATGTATTCAATAGAGAATTAATATCTAGGATATTTGAATAACGCAATAAACAAAGACCCACGAAAGAAATTACCAATTAAAAGAATCAGCAACAGATCAACATAGAGAATTCTCAAGAGAAAACATAAGAATAGTCAGAAAATTATTTTAAAATTCTTAGCAATCAGAAATGCAAAGTAAACTACTTTGAGATTTCATCTCACTTCAGTCAGAATGGATAAATTTGAGAAAACAACTGATAGCAAATGCTGTAGAGGGTGTGAGAAAGTGACACCTCCCTTCTCTATTGGTGAGATTTTAAACTGATACAGACACTGTGGGAATCAGTGTAGAGAATTCTCCAAATGCTACCATATGACCTACTATACCACTCCTTGACATATGCCCTAATGACTTGATGTCTATTACTAAATAAAATAAAATGCTTGCTGAGCCAGGTTCATTGTCCCTATTTTCACAATGGCAAATAAGTGGAAACAACCCAATATACTTCAACTGATGAATAGACAATAGCAATATGTTATATAGTGGAATATTTTATTGCTATAAGGAAAAATGAAACATAAATTGTGCACCACAATGGATGGAATTAATAACAACACACAGAATGTGATAACCCAGAAGGACAAAAAATACATATTCCCTCTTATTTTTAGATCTTGGTTCTGAATTATATATTTGAGTATATAACCTGAAATAGCCTAATATTCCAGAAAAACACATAAGTACTATGAGGGAAAGAAGGAAGACAGAGATGCAGAGTAGGGAACAGTAGTTATGAAGAGAAAAATGGAAAAAATGGGAACTTTAACTGAGGATGTAGGAGGGAGTATAACATAGAGGAAGTGGGAGAAGAAAAGATACATAATTAAGGTTGTTTGAAAAAGACACAGGGAAATATTTTTAAGATTAGGAAAATACACATATATATGTGTGTATTTTAGTATATGTGCATGTTAACACATGTAAAATGGAGTCATGCCTTATGAGATGATAATGCTCATACTAAGATCCATAGAATACCTAAAAACAAACAAACAAAAACACCCAAAAACTAAGCATTTCCTGTGTTGGGGTCAGGGTCCAAGGGAGTGTTAAGTCAATGTATGTTAATGCCATTGCCCCTAGGTACTCCCCCACCCTAGTATTTCTGGTAAATTTTTTTTTTTGCTAAAACCATCACATATGTTGTACACATGACAGTAGGCCACATTAACCACTACTTAAGAAATGATCAGGTACCAATTTGCCCATAGACCAATTAATCATAGAATGGATTGTATTAATATTTTGTTTGTCCTTTAAAAAAATAAATTTGCCATATCAGAGTGTGGAGCTAGTCACTAGTTAACCATTGAGGCCAGGTTGTGTTGCACACACCGTTGATCCCAGTACGTGAGAGGTGCAGGAAGATCAGGAGTTTAAAATCACACTGGGTTACCTAATATTTAACCAGTTTAAAAGAGAAACAGAACTCACACTCTGACTCCAGCCCTTGGGATCTCAGCCTTTAATCCAAGCGCTATGGAGGTGGAGACAGGAAGTGATATGGGTGGGCAGAGAGAATAATATAAGTTGGGAGGAGAAAGGAGCTCAACCTGTGTCTGTGGATTTTGTAGAGGTAAGAACTTCAGTATAGCTTACTGCTATACTTCTGTGACCTTTCAGGTTTCACTCCTTAATATCTGACTCTAGGTTTTTATTATTATTAAGACCAATTAGACTTTGTGCAACAATGGATGGAAACAGTCATCTTTGGAGGTATCTTTTTCCCAGATAAGCTTAGTTTGTTTGAAGCTGAAAAGACTAGTTAATACAGATGTATTCTGGAAGATTCTTAAATATGTCCAACTCTGAGAATGCCGCCCTTAAGTGAATGGTTCCCAAACTTCAATGAAGATTCATTCCTCTGAAACAACTTAAAAATATTTGTTTCTCTAAATTACAAAGAATCTCAATGAAATGCCTGGAATGAGACGTGGATTTTAAAACTGTAACTATCATTTGCTGCAGTGTTGTGTGATAGAGGGAAAAAAGGAGGTTGATAAATTTTCCTAAGTCTGTTTTTTTCTTTCTACTCCTAAAATGTGCAAGCAGGCTATCCTTTTTAATTTATACTCATTAAACATTAAAGTGCCTTATATTCATTTATGTGTTTTAATAATATAAAGAATATCAGACAGATTACATATTTCCATTCAAATAATAGCAATATTAACATAAAGACCTGTTATTCAAGCATATCAATGAAAACATTTCCATTTTGCTTCTCTATACAGAATGAGAACAAATATTTATTTATTTTAAAATATCAAAATTTATTTTTTTATTTAATTTAAATTAGAAACAAGTTTGCTTTCAATGTCAAACCCAGCTCCCTCTCCCTCCCCTCCTCTCCCATCCCTCTTCAAACCTTCCCCAATCCCTGTTCCAATCCCCACTCCATTCTCCAAGGAAGGTGAGGTCCTTCATGGGGGATCTCAAAAGTCTGTCATATGATGTGGGGCAGGGCCTAGGCCCTTCCCCATGTGTCCAAAATATTTATTAAATCTTGTTCCCACACTTCATATTTCAATCTCAAAATGTTCAGATTAGAGAATTATTCTAATTTCCCCAGGATGTTGAGAACTTAATTAATTAATTTTATTTCCTGTTCTTTAAATTAATCTATGAATAGCATAAAATAGTTTAATAATTAAAATTTCACATGCACATTATTCTAATTTCTTTTTAGCTATTCTCCTCCCTTTCCCTCTCCATATCCTCCTTCTAAGTCATTTACCCTTCCTAAACAGGGTTTTTTCTTGCTGCCGTCATTTTACATTTCTTCCTGCCTTCTCAATTTTCCAGTGATAATTAATGTAACTCTCAGTAGTTAGTAGCTCCTAATTCCTATCAGAAGCAAGTCTAATCATATGCATGTACATCCTTTAAATCTGAATTTAAACACTAGTGGTTAAACATATCTGGGATGGCTCTTGAAACTGAAGTATAAGATACCTGAAAGAAGAATCTTCTGTGAAGACTGACACCTTTGGAAATTTGCCCTATTCCAAGGCCAAACATAAAGCAGTCTAGTTTGGTGACATATGGAAGCAGGAGCCATATAGCCTACATTCATGGGTAACCAGTTAGATGTTGTTTCCTTTTTCTCATTAGACATCAATCTTTGTCATTTCGAATTCAGTGAAAGGACACGTTACGACACAGAAATATGTCTTCTCCTACAGAGTGAGATTGCCTCTCCCCCAGAAGTTTTGGTCAGCTTTTTATGCACAGCTCTTGATGTAAAATCAGACAGACAGTAAATTTTGTGGAAAATATGAATCTCAAGTTCTCAAATTTGTTGTGTTTACTTAAATGTGTAATTTCAAATTCATTGCAATTTTGCTTTAGTAGTGGCATGCATGTAAGTAGCAACTGGCTCTTAGAGTTTCTGAACATACAAAAATTTCTCAGGAGCCTCTTCTGCTGTCATTTTACTGCCTGTTGCCTTGCCATTTTGTATTAGGGAACCAGTCATAGAATATAATTCTGGCAGACTGTCAGCTACATACTTATTTGTCAATCCAGTCCCTTCAATGTCTGACAGGCAGCCAAATCCACAGCCGTGTGTGTGTGTGTGTGTGTGTGTGTGTACACATATGCATTTTGCAGTATTTGTGGTGGATATAATATAATAAGATATATCCAGTTTTTATAACACAACATTGATGTTGTGTCCATCCTCTTTTCTTGTCCTGTTTTATGAACTTCCTACCCTCTGCCTACTTGATGCTACACATCTTACCCAAAAGAAATGCAAATATGTAAAGCAGGAAACGTATTTGTTTTTATTGTTTTTTGAGAAATTAATGTATTCTAATCATGTGTTTTGGTCAAATTTACCACTCATTCTTTTCCTGGCATCCTTCCCTTATCCCTCAACCTGCATATGCTATTTTTAAAAACTTATTTAGTCCACTTAATGTGTCAGAATGTGCATGGCTATATACTCTTCTATTAGAGCGTGTGATTTAGAGGCTAGCCCAGTATGTAGTGGCTTCATGATCTCAGGTAGGAGGCTAAAGGGTCTCACTCAGATCTTCCATAGATGAAGTAGGGAAATCATTGGGGCTATTACAGATTGTCATGAAGATTTACTAAGAAACTATGCATCTAAAAGCCCTTAGAGTCTCTTCTCTCCCACCTCCAGGAAGGCAATTCACACATATCTGCATATACAAAAGAGAGTAACTACATCTGCAACTTTGTCAACAACAAATCTCTTTTTGAAAATTGGAAATACAGGAGCATGTTTTTGGCAGTCAGAATTCTATGATTCTATAGAAATCAACAGTTGATATTTTCTACTTAATCTCAGTCTATATTATTTATTGCTCCCAGAATGTGCCATATACATGTTAACAAGAAATGTACCCTTTTATTTTCTTCAAATGTCAGCCAAAACACAGTTTTGTTTTGTAAGTTTAGTCATAATATTGTCAAGAAAACAGTGAGCAAAAGAGCATCTATTTAGCCTTCTAATAGCTACTGATGTGCAATGTCTGGTTCTATTTATTTCAGCTGAGAATATTGTAACTACTTTTGAAGGATTTCTATTCTGAGGCAGTCATTGAAAGTCATGTTCAAAGAACTGCAATGAAAATACTATATTTTCCTCCTTGAATCATTTTCATATAGAAATAGCTTGCAAGGGAAATGTATCATCAGTACACTGTATCTGACACACCTCTGCTAAATTACAACCATTCTCAGCTTACCACAAGTTTCCACTTCATCTGTCTGGTCACCACAGTCATCCTCTCTGTCACACAGCCATGCTCTGGGAATGCAGCGCCCATTTCCGCAAGAAAACTGATCAGCCTGGCAGGTTCTTGCTGTAAAAATCAATTTATATACAATGAATGAATTCTCAGAATTTTTGAGTAATGTGACATGAAATATCTGTTTTACACATAAGCATTATGTTTATGTTTATTCATTTTTAGTTTTTGACATTATAATTTAATTACATTTCTCCCTTTCCATTTTCTTCTGTAAAACTCTCCCACATAATCCTGTTCACTCTCCTTCAAAGGCATGGCTTCTTCATTTAGGATATAATATTTTTAAAGTGAAATTTTAATTAGTGCATTGTGACTTGAGCTGATGTGGGATGTCCTTCTGTAGGTTGTGAATATGTGTTTCTATTATTGGTTGATGAAGAAAGATGTTTCAGCCAATGAATAGGTAGTTTGTAGCCAAGCAGGAAGTATAGGCAGTGCTACCAGACTAGGAGAAGGTTGGGGCTTGAAAAGCAGAGGACAGGGACATGCCATGTAGCCGCCAATGAGTAACATGTCAGAGAAATACTGGTGAGCCACAGCTTCTTGGAAATATGTAGTCTAATAGAAATGGGTTAATAATTAAATAGAGATAGCCAATAAAAAGGCTGAGCCATTGGCCAGATGGTTTATAATTAATATAAACCTCTGTGTGTTTTTTGCAACTAAATGGTTGCGGGAGTAGGTAGGACAGACACCCCTTCTGTGAACTTCTCTGCTTCTGAAGTACATCACATTGGCTTTCAGTGAAATTGGACACTAAGGTAATTAGTATTTGTTGAACTCATTTACAAATGAAAATAAAATGAGTTATATTAAGAATTTATTAATCACATACTTTAAAAATGTTATTGAATTAAGGCCGGTTGGGGGTGGCACACACCTTTAATCCCAGCATTCAGGAGGCAGAGGCAGGGGGATCTCTGTAAGTTTGAGACCAGCCTGGTCTACAAGGGCTAGTTCCAGGACAGCCTCCAAAGCCACAGAGAAACCATGTCTCAAAAAAATAATACTGAATTAAATTTCATCCAACTCGTGTTTGATGGAAAACTTTTTGCTGTAATGCCAAGAAAAGCCTGTCACTATCCTCAGAATACCTAGATTCTAATCCAGCCTCAGAATTGTCCTTTTCGTTTAATGGTATTTGTTGTTGTTGTTGTTGTTTTCTTTTTGTAGTTACCTCTATTTCTAAGTGAACTCTCCATGTAAAGTGAAAATACAGAAATATTCTCTAAAACATACAATTAGCCCAAAACTTTATACCTTGTGCAGGTATAAAATTGATCTTCGATCACTGTACTCAGAGCTTTGCTTTGCGCTGTCCTAAGGGCTACAATGCACAAAAATATGGACAACTTCAAATTGTGGCAGTAAACAGTTAAACAATGGCCTGTAGTAACAGGGTTCCAAGGGTTGAGATTTGTATATTCTTATTGGTCAAGTCTGCTCCTCCCAGACCCTGAGGTTTGGGTGCTGTGTACTAGTTACTTTTAATGTTTAATTTTCATTTTTTTCTTTATTCTTTTTCCGTTGAAACAGAAATTTATCTTGAATGGGATTATCCCATTCACCCTGCCTTTCCATCTGAAAAAAAGAAGGAAAATATAGGATTTGTCAGTGACACTTTGAGACAGCAAAGGGCAGCTTAGGCTCTGAGCTTCCACACTAGAAACAAAGAGATCCAATTTGTGATAGAATTCTTCTTCCCTGCATGTAAGGAAAATAAGTGTTTTTATTTGGTTCTTTAAGATATCTTGCATGCTAATCTACACAGAATGTCTTTATAAAGGCATACCAACACATACACACAGTTGTGGGACCAGAAGTAGTGAATATTTTCCAGATTACTTAAAAATAAACTTCAAAATTTACTGGTTGGTCTGATACCATGGAGCAGAGGTACAGTACCTGTAACAATAGTAACTAGGAATGTTATACAATGTGCATTTTGCTATGCAGATAAGGCTTTAAATATCAAATATTTTATGTAATAACCATTTTCATTTTAAAAACTGTTTATTTTGTTAAATTAACATATTTCAGTTTTCTAACAAATGTATGTAATTCTGAAGTTTTCAGTATTTACATTTTAAATAACATTAAATATTTCTAATTGCCTTATTTTACAAGTTTACTTTTAAATAATCCTTACACACAACATAAACTCAATAAAGGTCTTTTTTTTTTTTTGTTTTTATGCGACAGGGTTTCTCTGTATTGTTTTGGAGGCTGTCGGTCCAGCCTGGCCTCGAACTCACAGAGATCCGCCTGCCTCTGCCTCCCGAGTACTGGGATTAAAGGCGTGTGCCACCAACGCCCGGCTCAATAAAGGTTTTAGTCAATGTTATGTAGTTGTGCCTTTTTTATGAAACATACAAAACAAGGTGTAGATGCCCAAGGTGTGGGCTTTGGTTATTTTGATGAAGAAGGCTAGGATGCGAAGGAGATGAATAATTTCCCCTTATGTATCTCCATATTGCTTCAGTGGTTACAGCCAAGTGCTTTCCCCTTGTGCTTTAAAAGAACTTAAACAAGGGCTGTTATTTTCCATTGTCATTTCTTTTCTTTCTCCATAACGTTTTCCCCTTCTCCTTTTTCTTATCATCTTTATCTTTCTTCCTTTTTTCTCTTCCTATTCTTTCTTGTTGCCTTTCCCTTCTTCGATCTTTCTTCTCTTATTGTAGTCCATTCTCCCATGATTTTAAAGGAAAACGTCATTAGATAATTTATCTCCACTTAATTCCAACTTAGCCATAATCATAATATATTGAATTTATGCAAACCGCTGTTCTTTAAGTTTATGTTCCTGTTATTATAGTCTCTCCTACCAATCTCTCCATAGAGTTTAGCAAAGGTTCTTATATGGATTGCTATTATTAGAGAGAAAGTAACTGGAATTTCTCAGTCTAATTCATATAGTAGATGACTGACAATTGTGGTGGCACAGGAACATGTGTGTGGCCCTCATTATAGCTGTGAAGTTGCAGGAATTGCTAAAATCATTAATTGAAGAACTTTTTGCATAGTTATTGAAAGACATTAAGACTAGAAAGTGCTTGAATTCACTATCCTGTCTTAGTCATGGGAAAACTCTTTTCTTTTTCTTCCAGGGAAATTTAACTGATTTCAGATAAGAACATTATTTTATTCCTTAAGTCTCTAAGTTCTTCCTTCTGGACATAACCAAATCAACAGAATTAACACTTCAAATCAGTGGACTCATTAAAAGACAACACAGTGTTTTCTTTTTCAGTCCTCCTCTGCATCAGATGTAATAAGCTTGCAGGTGACATTAGATGAGTGGTCCAAAAGGACTCTAATGTTTTAACAAATGGTGTCCAAAAGAGGAACTTATCAATGCCTTTTGCAGAAATGTTTATCCAGTAGTTGAATCTGAGATTCCACTCACATTATAAGTATTCCTTCTAATCACTGCTACCATATAGCAGGATGAAACCTGAAATTATGAGCATTGTATGAGGAGACTATTTCAACCAGACAGACAGAAACATCACCTTTGTTACATTTGAGTCAAAGCATTCTATTTAGACAACATATACTCTCTCATCCCTATAAATCACAGTACTTTGGAGGAGGAAGTAGGAAGATGATTAATTCAAGGATAGCACGGGCTACATTTTAAAACCCTGACTCAAAAATACTAACGACTGGTCATGAACTTCAGTGCTACAACATTTGGACAACATGTGCAAGCCTTTGGGCCTAATTTTTAGCATGATGGTCAGGGGGAGCTCTCTTGTTAAAGGTCTGATTTTGATATTATGGTTATTTTCATGTAAGTATACATGCTTAATGTGCATTTCATCAAAACTGTTGGATGATGTGAGGGGAAGAATATTGTCCAATGCAATTATAGTTCAAGGATGGAGAAAATGTTAGTTTAAGATTGCCTAGGTGCATGTAAAAGAATTATTAGTATTAATTCCAGGAAAGTGAATTTCATATAATTGGCATTCATCTTGGTCTCTGAAGTCTCTTAGAAATAAGTAAATGGAATCTGAATTTTTGAGGGTCAACAGCTGTTCTGTGTGGCTATGGATGCTCCATTCATGTGCTCTGCCTCCCCTGAGGACCTTCTCTGACTTGCTCCTGGTATTTAGACCACACCTGCTCCAACCCTATAAGCTGACAGTTGGCAATTTGCTCCTAGCGAAATGTTTCTGTCACAAAGAGGTCAAACAAATATACACTTGTCTCTGATGTACACCTACATCCAATTTATTTCTCTATATTTGCTGTAGAATTTTGCTTTGTATTATTAAAAAATGTATTATAGCTTCATCTTATAGACCATGAAGTCACTCCCACACATTGACCTTCCCTAGCATACCTAACTCTTTATTTTCTTTTCACCTCCGGGAGTTTTGTGAAGACTATACATGAATTCATCAGAGATATATACATTGTTTTTCAGTTTATATTTCTTGTAAATAAAATGTTTGTATTTTCAAGTTTTATATGGGATGTTTTGAAAATTCATTCTTTTTGACACTTGAGTATGAGATCAATCATTGCAAATGTGCATGACAAATATGCACATTTATGAAATATCCTACTCATTTAAAATTTAGTTTGTTTGGGGGCAATTTTATTCCTAGCTCTCAGGTGAATATCTTTCCCCCAGTTTTTCATATGAACAGGTATTAACTACTGTTGGGGAAACAGATACTATAAAGTTAAGCATGCATAAATTTGGAACTTACTAAATTAAAAAAATTCTTTCTGTACTAGTTAGTTTTGTGTCACCTTGACATAAGCTGTAAGGCATTTTCTCAATTAATGATCAATATGGGATGGTTCAGCCCATTGTGGATGATATGATTCCTGGGCTGGTGGTCCTGGGTCCTATAAGAAAGCAGGCTGAGCAAGCCAGGGTAAGCAAACCAGTAGACAACTCCCCTCCATGGTGTCTGTGCCAGCTTCTGCTCCAAGTTCTATCCTGCCTGAGATCTGGTTCTGACCTCTGCCGGTGACAGACTATAGTATGGAAGTGTAAGCCAAATAAACCCTTTCCTCCTCAACTTGATTTTTGGTCATGGTATTTAGTTGCAGCAATAGAAAAATGAATACACTTTCTATTACAAAAAGTGAATTTATGTGACCAATAAGAATATGTGCCCACTCCTTCCCCCCATAATATTGCCAAAACTTGTTTTTAACCAGATTATTTGGCTTCCCATGTCTTATTTATCTTAATTTCTTATAACACCAAGGATCATAAGCCCAGGGGTGGCATCAACCCTAGTGAGCTGGTCCCTGTCACATCATTAATCTAAAGGTATGCCAAACAAGGTGCTCACAGGCCAATCTAGTGAAGACATGTTATCAGTTGGGGTTCTTTCTTCCAACATGTTCAGTCAACATAGAACTAGACAGTATAAGAACAGTATGACTAAACTTTGGCTTTGTAACTTGCATAACAATGCCTGGCCAGTACATGATTTTGTGTGCCCTTGTTCTCTGTCTACAAATGAAAGCACTAGGTACTTTTGATCATTCAGTCATCAATGTCATGGCTAATATTTACTGGTTGGTGTGGGAAAATCTTAAAAGAACAAAATAAAAAAAACAGGTCTCTGGTGGGAGATTCCAGTTTATGTACAAGCAGCCCTGATGTAACAGATGAGGAAGTAGATGTCACGATAAAATATCCCCGTTTTGTGTCTTTTCAGCCAGGGACACACATTCACACATTCACTTAAATTTTGGGTTCCAGAATGTGCTTAGAGGATCCGGCCACTTTGTTCACATGCACAAAGCCATGCAAATTGCTGATTTCTTCAGGTGAAATGAAATTTAAGTACATCAGGCTTAACCCCACATTTCAAAATGTAATGATGAAAAGCACATCTCTTTGTTATTTTGATTGACACCAGTTCTCATGATTGTAAGGACTTGAGTGTACTGAACTGGGAGTGAGGACCACAACTCAAAGTGACATTCATTATGTTGTGTTTTATTTCCTAGTGCATTATAGGGATCTAAAACCACAGAAATCATACCAATCAGGACTGATTGCTTTGTTTGTTCTTACATAGAAGTATTTCTATTTTTACTACTACTAACAGTTAGACCAAATACAAATGCTGTTTTTTAAATCATGCGGAAACAAGCAAAATTTATAATTAATATAAACAAGGCAGGTATGATACTGTAAGATGAGTGTCTTTCTATTTTAAGGCAAAAATCTCTCTGTGTTTATGATCAAGATGTAATGAAGCACAATCTTTGAATTAAACTTTAATCTTAAAAGATTAGTATGTGCACTCATGTGCAGAAATGCTTCACTGTAAATTAGAGTCATATTCACGGTAACCTCAAAGTCAAGTTGGCTGCACATAAAATTCAAGATAATCTTGTGTGCAGTGTAGTTTAGTCCAAAACGTAGAGTCTTTTCAGAATTCATAAAGGTGTAGGTAAGCTCTGTTTGTTACATTTTCTCTACAAAAAGAAAGATCTTGAAAGAGCCCCTGTGGTCTTGAGATCTCTCTTTTGTTTAGAAAGTCTTATAAAATTACACACACACACACACACACACACACACACACAGAGGGGTGGTTGGTGGTGGGGAATTTAAGAAATTCATTTCCTCTAAAGATTATGGGTTTTATTTGAGACTCCAGAGAATTATTTGTCCACAGGTGGTGAGCAAATGAGCGAATGCTTCACCATGGAGAAGTCTGTTCATATGATGTCTCAGGCCAAGGTAGGAAATGATTTTGCTTTTTCATTTATATTTTCTGTTGTATTTTTATCAAGAAGCTCTTGAAAACAATCTGTAGCAAATTCAGTGTCTAGCAGAGCTAAAAGAAATACTTTCAAAAGGTAAGACACAGAGGGACAAGCCTTTGCACAGGCAATTCAATGCCAAAATCAAGGGCAGGAAAAATTTCTCAGTCTACATTGTTAAAATAGTTTGTATTTATTTACTAAGGCTTGCAGTGGCTAAAGGAGCAAGAGGCTCTGTGGGGCCTGGCATGCTGTAACATTGCAGCATCTTTCAAGAATCAGCTTTCACCAATTATAACATGTATCACCACACAGTAGTTTTTCTTCATCATTTACAGTGGGCTGCTGCTTGCCAATGTCATTTTTCAACATTTACCCAGTAATCATGACCTTTCTGGCACTCTTTTGTAAGCTGTACCACCAGCTGTATATTTCTATTCAATGAGAGGCTGGCTAGGGAATCAATGATTTATTACAAAGGCGTGGATTATATGGAAATATAAACGTGCCTAGTCGTATTGGGACTTCATTCAGGAAAAAAAATTCTGCCTTCCATAAATAATGTTCCATGAACAGAAAACTATTCACAAAGGTATTCTGTGGTAGAAAAAAAATAAGAAGGTTTAGTATTTTCTCAGGATAAAATAAATAGTTCTCCTTGTGAGGTGGCCAGGATCACAGCATGCTAATGAAAAGCTTCGACTGCCTAGGAAGGTTTAGCATGGGGCAAGTCTTGAAGGAGATGCTCACCAACAGGCAGCCCACATGGACAGGTGAAGTGCCAGGTGAATTTGGAAACCAGAGTCCTGTTCAGGGATTAGTAAAACACCATTTGTTATCTGGCCTTTGTGGAAACGAACACTGAACTCCCTGACCATGGAAGTAATCAGAATGTCGATGCTAACAAACTTCTGGTGGTTTATCAGCCTGACCTGTGTGTTATAGGCATGGAGGTGGAAGTGATTTGTTATGTATCTGTGCAGACCATTACCTGCGCAGGTTTGGTTGGACTCGTCTTCATTGCTGCCACAATCATTTGCTCCATCACAAAGCCATCTCTTGGGGATACAACGATTATTTTGGCATTTAAACTGATCATCAGGACAGCTATGATTGACTGTAAGGGGAGGGAAGCAAGTTCAATTCAAGTTATGAGAATTTTAATCAAGGTTAAAAAACTATTTCAGTAATTGTTCTGTTATGCTGTAATAAATTCCTCAATTTCTGTCATTATTATATCTTAAAATAATTACGCATATACACTAATATACTGTTTTCATATATATATATACATATATCACATTCATTCAAATATTTGAAATATTAAATAATACTAATTATGTTTTCACTCAGTGACTCCATTTTGGATTTTGAAAAGGAATGAGAGAAATAAAAATGAATCACTTGTAACAAAGATTATACTAAAAATGAAATTTTATGTAATTTTAATAACAAAGTATTACCATGTGCCTTCCCAATAAGAAAAAATAAACATTCAACTAAAAGCAATATTGAAAGGGAGAGCTACAATCATAGAGAAAGTGATCCACAGCTGAGCCTCAAGCTTCCCATATCTAATCACAATGGGAAGGCTCTTTGAATTAACCTTCTAAACATATTTTGCAGGCTCCTAATTTGTGGTCTTCCATATTTGTTTCTCTGTTTTAACACTATTTTATTCTTTTATCAAATGCAGTAGTTGCACATTTCCTAAGATGGAAACATATTTTGTATTATTTTTATTTATAAAACTAAAGTACTATGTTTTTCATTTTGCTTCATATCAAATGGGTGCACTTACAGTATGTACCCACAAATCACATGTTATTTAAGTATTTGTGATGTTAGAGGTCAACATTCTAAAGGAGCAAGATCATGCAATGTACACTGTAGTGAAGCTTCTCAGGGACCTTTTTGGCCATTTCTATACTCTTGTCACTAACAAGAAAGAAGCAGGAGGACTGTAAACTTTAGACCAACCTAGTCAGCTAGGTGAGTTGAAGATTTTGATCCATTTCCATTAATGATGGAAATGCATAGTCAACTACAGTCTTCTAGTTAGTGGTGAGCTACTGAATGTAGGCAGCAAAAAGAAATTTTAGGTAGAAGATTGAGAACAAAACAGAAGAAATAAAATGCTATTCAGAATGACTACAAGGCTCAAAATGATGCTCTCCAAACAGTTGGCCAGAGATTCTTGCTGTATACTTCCAGGTTTATAGAGTCATACATTCTTACAGGGCCACGATCTATTTTTGGAGTTGATACTCCAGACATGCTACAGACAACAATATCTCCCAAGAAGGATATTAGTCTTTTATTAGATGAATCAGATGAAGAAACATATGGTTGCAGTGAAGATTGAGAACTACTGCAGCATAGGACTTACAGAAGACAGATGCTTTACTCTAGCAGCCTGTACTGGATTTTATTGGTGGTTACAAATAATTCCATAAGAATGCTGTGTAAACAATATTAAATTTCATAGTATTCTGTCAGCTCAGTATCACAGACAAGGAAAGTGGGATCATTTTTTTCTGTAGGGCAACCTATAATTCAACTCAATAAAAAGAAAGGTAAGTAGATAGATGATGTTATACAAGTTATATACTCAAGTTATACACTTGAGTATATAACTTGAGGCACTTCTCATGTCAGCTAGTGGGTCCTGCAAATGTTTCAATGAGAAGGACTTGATCCTATAAGAACTAGGAATCACAGAGGAACACTCAAGTTTATTTAAGATGGAAGCCTAATTCAACCAGGAAAAAAGATGAGGCAAGGACGACATTTAGTTAGGAGACTTCATACAAGCACACTTATTTATAGATTTGAATATGGATAGCAGGTTGAAATGCAGGATGCCAGGCGAAGCCTATGGATTTTGTGATGGAACACATTAGCTAATCAACTGTAATCACAGAATATTACTTCATATGCTTTCCAAGTGTCTTCTAGCCATACATGTGAGAAATTTCCCTACTTTTATAAGAAACATGAGCAGTTCCTATTTCAGCAAACAGCTAATGTTGAGTGGAAGCCATTGATAGAGCCAGAGAAGCTAGAATACATTCCAAATCTATGCCAATCTCCTAGAATTTCCTTCAAGGCTCTGTACCAACAAGCAATGGACTGGAACGTAACCTTCTGTGCGTCAAATTCAGTCTCAAAGTGGGTTAAGATGAATTCCCATATCTTTACATATCTTTACAAGCAAAAATCCCAATGTTGGGATTTAGAGCAGCTTCAGACTGTGGTTTGGCAGTATTCTAACAAACTTAGGAAATGATGGGGACAGAGGAGAAGGGCAGACCTCGACGTCTGTAGTAGGAGAAAATCTGTAGCTTAAATTTAAACCATGGTTCACTGGGAAAGAAAGTTAAGTCAATTTACATCGAAGAATTTTTCAGATATGTCACAGACTGCTTCTGGTAATCCAGACACCCAGGAAAATACAGTTTTAGATTATTTGAAGGAGAACATACAGCAAGTGACAGAATCTTCATCACTCCCATCTAGGCAGTCATCATCCCCATCACATTTCCACCGAGCTTGGATACAGTGCTTGTTTTTGCAGCGAAATTCTCCAGGTTTACATATATGCAGCATTATTTCTTCAGGATTAACTAAAGTAAAAAATGAAAAAAACACATATGATGTGTAGATACTGCTAGCTGTGTAAGTTCATTGAGCTTTTGATTGCTGGGAGTGTTCATTGTTTTAGAACCCCACAGAAATAAAGTTTTCCAGTGCTTGTCTTTTTTAACCTCTGGATTATTTCCTTCATGACGCTTTCCATATTCATCTAAGCAATAAGGTGTCGATCTTACTAAAACATGAATAATAGTCATTATACGCATATGCACACAAACACACACTTTCTAAGCTCAACACATGGGTCTGGGTGGAGAGAGAATGCAGGGGGTGTAGGTCAACAGGGCACAGTAGAAGAAATGTAAGATGAATTAGTGAACTTGTCTATGATGCAACATTGAGAATATAATAATGATGTAGTGTGTCATCCTAGGAATTGACAATTGAAGGTGGTCTTATGATAAGTAGTCATTAAATGGTAACAAAGAAAAATGACTTGTTAATATGTTTGCTGACAGAAAACAGTTCACCAGTATATCACAGTGTATTGCATACATTAAGTTTGTACAATAAAATGGAAACTACCAACTTAAAAGTATATCTGAGGAAACCTATAATGATATTTCCATGACATTAAATAAAGATTATTATACTCCAATACACACAATATAATTTAAATAGGATCTTTTATAATGATGAAATTCTTATTTCTCTACAGGAAATACATAAACAGTATTGTCCTGTAGCCCATCTGGGGAATCGAGCATTTAGTTTTGCTGACAAAAATTATTCCTATTTGTTTCTTTTTAAAATGATTTATTTATTATTATGTATGCAGTGATCTGTGTGCATGTTAGTCAGAAGAGGGTATTAGATGACACTATTGATAACTGTGAGCTACCATGTGGTTGCTGAGAATTGAACTCAGGACCTCTAGGAAGAGCGGTCAGTGCTCTTAATCACTGAACCATTTCTCTCTCTCTCTCTCTCTCTCTCTCTCTCTCTCTCTCTCTCTCTCTCTCTCTCTCTCTCTCTCTCTTTGGTTTTTTGAGAGAGAGAGAGAGTTTCTCTGTGGCTTTGGGGGATGTCCTGGAACTAGCTCTTGTATGGTTTCTTTTAATCAACTTCTCAGTAAAGAAGAAAGACAAGCTCCTTCATTGTTCATTTGGTTGTCTGTATGGGATCCTTCACTACAGTAAATCACTTCATTGTAAACAAATCAACTAAGATTTAATCACCACAAAAAGATACAAAGAAGACAACCTTGATGGCTGTACTTCCTTCGTAAAACTGCATTATGCTAACCAGAAATGTCATATATCTAGGCTCTGAATTTCCATTGTAACAAGCATTCCCATTCTTGTGTTTTCTTTGTGTAGATGAGATAGAAACATCACAGGAAGGGATCGATGGCAAGCGCTGAAGTATATGGTTTGCATCTTGTGGTCTCAAAATGGCCTTAACTAACTCAAGTTGGCTTCTAGCTGGGAGAAATTAAATTCTACTCTTTTTGGCTTTTCCTTCATTTCTCATAAGTCATGTGGGCTGCTGAACTAACAAGAAACTTAGACAAACCTCACTCACATGCGGGTATTTCTACAGCCCTGAACATAACATTGCAATGGTCTCTGTTTCTCCCTTACAGCAAAGAATTGAAAAGGGAACACGACTTTTGAACCATGCCTGCAGGAAACCACTTCATAGTGGCACAGTAAGGCACAAGTCTTGGAGTTTGTAGGAATAGAAATGAAATTACCACAATGGGACCAAAAGAATCACTGTAGTGAATGAAATTTTCAAACTTGAACAAAGGTAGTCCTGTTTTGCTCCGTCCCTCTCAGTTATGCTGTGTATCCATGGGCAGACAAGATCATTTATTTTCTAGTCTTTCTCAGTAACATAACAACATAGAAGCACTTTTTTTCTGATGCCATTTTACTAAGATTTTTTCAAAGTAAGCTACTCTGTGGGGCTGGCAGGTAAGGAATGAATCCAAATAGGAAATAACAAAAACAAAAACACAAACACAACGGGTCAACCTAACTACCTGATAGAATTTTAGCACTTTAAAATTCCTACTTCAGATACTGATATTTTAATGTATTACTAATATATGTATATTGCTATACATGTATATAGTTATGTATACATAACATATAAAGTTATGTACATATATAGCTAGAGACAGAATGATGTACATATAATATATACATGTGTGTGTTATTTATACACACATACACACACATTCATGGCTATGACTTTAAAAATTTCTTCTCTAGTTTTTTTTAAGCCATGGACTACTTCTCAGTGGTGACCCTGTGTATCATACATTTGCTTTTGTTGTCTGAGGATGCTTTTGCAGTATAGATAGAAATGTTCTATGTCTGGATTTACAACTCTTATTTATTGAGTTAGTTCATTCACTACTGTTTTAAAACAGGAGTGCATTTAAAATGAAATTTTAGGATGAATTTCTAGCCAACTCCGTTTAGGATCTGGGCTTTAAATAACTCATTATTTGACACTTGGAATCACTGTATTTGCAGATTCTACTTGAGTTCCCCTACACATGCCTCTACTTGACTTGAGGGGGAAGTCCAACATAAACGTGGAGGCTAGACTACCTGCTGTGTCCTCTGTGTTTGATATATGGCTCATGTATCACCATAACATCCATTACAATATAGAAACCTTTTCCAGATATTATATGGTAAGCAAAATGAAATTTACTTTACTTACTTTGCTTAATGATAAAGGGTGTTTCAGACACTGAATTTCTATTTTTCATTGTCATTTTTGGCATGCCTGCTTGGTCCAAGCCTATCATATCATGTCTGTGCCTCCTAAGTATTGGAATCACACACCTGTCCGACCTTTATGTGAGATCTGAACTCTGATCCTCAAATACTTTACACTGAGTCTTTGCCCCAAACTCTTAAATACTGAGCTTTGATTTGCATGGTCTCCATGTTTTATGGTTTCATTAGTCTATCTATGACTAACCTAAAATTTTCATATGTGACCAGCAATTCCACCACAAAGGAACCTCAATGTTCAGTATGAACTTCCATATTGATACAGGAACCATGTCAATGGAAGGCAGGTTGCTTTTTACAAACAATGCTCATTATCAAGGAAATTAAGATCCATGGGATAATACAGACAAGATAGAAGCTTGGAGTGTGTGATTTATTTGCCAGAACTAACTAAGCAGTGTGGAACTGGGGGACAATATCATTTATAACGGCATCCAAGTTTATTACCTCTAGATCTAGCCACTTTAGAGAGAATAATGAGAAGCAAACATACTAAGCATAGCATAAAAGACCAATAAATATTTTATCTAAAAAAACACAGCATTCTTACTAAAGCTGGCTAGTGAAATTCCTACTTAAGATTCATAAATATAAGGACAGTGTCGAATGTACAAATGAACAATGCTTAAAAGAATACGGGCTTAGAGTTACTGCGTAAAATAATTTGTTGCCTGACTTTTGGGAATTTAATGAGATTGCTGTTACTCTGCTAAGATACTGTCTCCAGGGGCTGTAAGAAATCCTTCAGGCAGCTTTGCTTTTACCAGATTAACAGCTGATATTCTTGTCTTACTGCTCATGAGCATGGGTACACATAGACAAATTTCAGCAAGCAAAATAGATGTGTACACAGAGAGAAAAATGAACATTTTCTTAAAGCTCCATCTATAACATTTTGATCCTGTGCACAATGTGGATGTGGAGAGCACTTGTTTGTCTGAGTGTAGCAATGAATTGCTTCTACAATCTTAGCAAGTACTAGAATTCTATCTATACTTTTCTGTAGAGCTGTGCTTTAAACCATGAATATGAAAACATACACAAAATGCATAATTCTGTCACTGGAACAACATGGTCTGAGCAATACAAAACTGACAAAGTAATAAATAATCATTTTGGTTTAACCACGTTCAGAAATGACACAGAACAAATTATGACTTGCCTGGTGTAAAATGTCACTTTTCATGATTTTAGTGAAAACTGTGGTTTGAGGGAGAAAAATCAGAAGACCTGTTTCTGACTCCCCAGAACAGAGAAACATTAAGGATTTATTCTAGAGTTGTTTTTTTATTAACTTAGAAGAATGATTGCCAAAATTAATATCCAGAACCCCATGAAGTAAAGGAAGAATCCTTCTAATTGTATTATTTAGTTTTAATTTAGTTTTGTATCTTCCAATACACTTTTATTTATTTAATATGTGTGTGTGTGTATGTGTGTGCATGTGAGTGTGTATGTGTGTTTGTGTGTGTATGCACTAGCTCATGTCACAGACTCCAGAAGAAGGGGTCAGGTATCCTAGAGCTAGAATTGCAGACAGTAATAAACTCTGCAAGAGCAGCAAGGATTCTTTATTTCTGAGTTCTTTCTCTAACTCTTCATCCCATAATTTGATCTTAGCTTAACAAAGAATTGTACGACTCATTCTGAACCCAGGACTGTGGATCAAAATGGAAACCTGAAGCTTTAACTAATAGGATGTTGTCCTATTACACATTACATGACATCAGAAAATTCAGCTAATGCTATTTTTTTTCTTTAGATCATAGAGTGATGGGATGACCTTTTTTTTTTTAGAGAGAATGGCCTTTTGTACAGCTAGCCTAAGTGGTATATAACCTTCATGAGGTTCTGTGCACAGGAGGACATAAATAATCACTTGAATGGAACTTCTAAACTTTTTATTTCCTTAAACTTTTTACTACACATTAGATTGCATATATCCTAGGGCATGAGGCTTGTCACAGCAGAACTGATAAAAGACTCCCCACAGAGGAGCTCCATTTTTTTCACAAAGGAATATATCCGGTATTCCAAAAGGTGGGATCACAGAGGACCACAGGCACACCATGGTGCATTTCTAATCTCTGTGTTACTGCTATTTTGTGGAGTGTAAGTTTCTCTTTTGAGATGACACACAGTGGAGAGATTGGCCTTTTTTCATTTTAAGTATCTGCAAAGCACTTAAAGAATTACCTTCTTTACTCCAACTAAAACAACTAGGTACCTTATGCAATAAAACTCATAATTTTAAAACCTAACCTGTTATAACCTCATTTTCATATAATGTTGTATGCTTCCCCTCATAATTGTTATGAGAAAGATAAATACACCCTGTAACTGCTCAACTAGGTTTTTTCCTGTGGTTCTCAGTTGTTGTGAGTGCTAATTTGTTATGCTACAACAGACATCAAGCGTCACAAGAATAAAGGATGGAATCTTATTTCATTCTTCCAAACACAGCATTAGATTTCATTTGTAACCAATTGTGTAACATGCCAATTTTTGCCATGGGGTGTGTGCGTCTGTCTGCCACTGCTTTGAGTTGCAAGTTTATTAAGGAAAAATAACATCTTTGGTGTTTAGTCTAGCTTAACTATCATCCAGCTGCTTTTGTCAACTTGGTGCTGATTCAACGAGAATGACTATAACCAGCATGACCATGTTACATTGGTTGCCATGTCTCCCACCATTTTGTTTGACAGATTCACATGGCTTGCTTAATTTGCTTAATTCAGTTGACCCATCATATCTATAAGCTAGCCCGAACTAACCAGAAGCCCGAAGGAATCAGCACCAACAAGGGGTTAATGGAATAATGTTGGTGTCTCTTTTGTACCATGCTCTCTAAAAGCTATGACTTCATATAGCATCTTTATCAGCAACTTGTGACTAACATTAGTTTCACTATCAATTACTATTCCTAGTAAATATTAGTTAATACTAATAATTTAGGAATTATCCTTACTAAGTAAGTATAAATATATGATGATTGTTACTTATTTTTATTATCATATGAGTAGGAATTGAAATAACATAAACAAAGACACATTGTCTTCTTTTAAAATATGAATTATGCTGTGCTTCAAAGAAGCGTAGTTAGTTTGCATGCAGTGTCTATAAGGACTAGAATTTTAACAGGCAGGCAGAACGAATACTTCTTTAAAAGGATACATGTACTGATTGGACATTTTTCAGTATGGCAAATAAGCAAAACCCTCTCTTTTCCTTTAATTGCATTTACATTACCTCATCTATGAATTACAGTTACTAGAAAGAGATTAACACTCCAGAAAATGTTCTGCGAGCTCTGCAGTGTGTGATCATTTGATCATTGAACTTGCAATACCTGAAAATGATTCTCATAGCATCACGTTTGAAATAAACATTGTGTATAATTTTCTTGAAAGAAAAATAAATTTTTACTGAGCTGTGCAACAGTGTCCTGGGTTTTAGAAATAAACAAACACATGTATCTGTCTATTACCTTGATTTTCATAGGTAAGCTCATAGTTTGGAAATTTCTAAATGCTTCTGGAGTACATGCTCAGCTAGAGTTCCTTTTAAGGTAGTTGTATCTCCTACTTTCTATAATCTACTGAACATTTTATGTGATTGATTCATTTGGCAGTTGGCAAGAGAAAACTGTATAAGTCAGAATGGTGGATCAAAGTTCAGATTCACAGCAAAAACAGTTTCTAGTCACTATTAGAGAAGTAAATAATATTCAGAATTATTTATAGTTTTAGAGACATGGCCATTTCTAATACAATACATCACCCAACGAAATGCCTCTTTCTTATCTTACTGTGATATTTGAGTACAGTTCTTCTTTGAGAATCATATTTACAAAATGGTAAGCAATTAAGTGTGTAACATTTAGCTATGATGTATGCAAGAAAAATAAAGGTAACCTTACATGTATATAGGATGGAGAAGAGGAACTTTTGTCATTTACTGGTTGATACACAAAGCATGTCTAGCCTTGTTTCATGTGTACCTAATACAACTAATAAAAAGGACATGTTCTTCTCCTTGTGCATAGGCTTACTCCAAAGACAATAGGCCCAGGAGAGGACAAATGACTGATTCATAAACACCCTCATAATATTTTCTTGTAGCCATATGAATGCACATTAAACAACTTTAAAAGAACTTAAATTGTGGTTGATATAAAGAAACTGAGTTTTAAATATTCATTCAGGACATCCTCAAAATTTTAACTAGGAACTGTGAAAGACTGTCCATCCTGGGGTAATAAAGTGAATCTTAAATCTGTATCTAGCAAAACCAAAACACAGGTCTATTCACTGCTACTACCCATCCTTGAGAGATACTTGGTGGTATTTGAAAAGGTAGGTATGTGTGTATTATATTCTATCTATTTTAAATCCCAAAATTATTAATTTGGGTCAGCAGAAATCTCAAGAATATAATAGAAAAAACTCTTCTAAATTAATCTTGGCTAAAAATACATTATACTGTCAATATGCCAATTATGCACACTTTGTCTCCCAAATATATTGATAAAAATAAGATCAGCAAACCATATGAGATAACTCCAACTGTTCAAAGCAATGTCTGCAACCTATATGTTGGTAAGTGATGGGCCTTGATAGTCTCTTCATAACTAGAAATACAGTAAGAGCCAAAGATAATACCCAGAACAAAGAAAGAGACTCTGTCATCTAGTGGCCCAGGAATACATTGGGATTTGTCCTCCATGCAACATGGAAGAGGAGGCATGTATATGTATAACTCGAGAAAGAATTGAACAGCAATTTTTGAAGTCAAGATTTTTGAAGTTGCTTCTCCCATAAAAACACAAAGATGGGACATTTGTTAGACACTTGTAGTCTATTTTATATAGAATATGTTTTTAGAATATATTCTTGTCTGTATTTTCTCCTTGGAAATGTTACTTTAATATATTTCCCATTATTAGTAATTATAAATAATGTACTACTAAAGTCTTGAATATTAAGAAATACAACGAACAGAACTCTGCTCCAGGGCTAAAACATTATAAAAATTTTTAAATTTAATTAACTAGCTACATATGTAGGGGAAAGTATATATTACTGGAGATGAAGCCAAGGACTTCACACATTGGCTACCACTCTACTACTAAGCTGTATCCTCAGTGTTCCCAGCAATTTTTATAAATAATTTGATGATTCAAAATAATGTTATTGGTTAGAAATGCTGCATCATAATAGAAAGGCATGAACATGAGTGATAAAGAATTGTAAGGAGCTAAAGTCTTCATTTCAAATGTTAGGAATTTATAATACTGGCATTCAATATACTGACTTGAATTCATATTAGGACTGGTAGTTTTTTATTCCAAATGCCTGAAAATGTGTCACAGTCTGAATACAGGCCATATGGGAAAGTACAGAAGGAATTGAAAACACTGAAAGAAGTCACAAATATCTATACAATCATACATATCTCCAGTCATCAAGCATGAGATGACTTTAAATTCAGCTGTGAAGGATTGTGTTTACAGGGAATATTTAATTAAATGATATGAGACTTACATTTAGTTAGACAAAAATGAATCTAAAGTAACAGACACTGGATTATGAGCCAGGGCCAAAAATAAAAGTACAGTGTAATAAGAGAATCCAACTCCAAAATGAAACGATCTTGTGTCTGACATCTGTACACCCAGAGTTCCTCCCTCATTCATCTGAATTAAAACATCTGCTTCTGAGACTACAGTCTGCAGTTTCACTGGACAGACATTTCACCTCTCTTGAATTTTCAGTTTGAGAACTGTAGATCCTATGGCTTCTCAGTCTCTGTGGATATCAGTCAACTCCTTATTACAAATCCTGTCACCTTTCTACACATATACGTACATACATACATACATACATGCATGCCTGCATACATAGATGGATAGATACATACATACATACACACATACATACATAAATCCTATTGCAATTCTTTCTTTGGAGAGCCTTGAGTCACAGTTTGAATTTTAAATCCTTCCAAAAATTTTTATTTAGCTTTCAAAACATGCACATTGTTTTGGCTGTTGCTGTGCTTAGGGGATACAACTTGAGATAGTTAGAACTTTTAAGATTAATTCTGGAATAGTAAGCACAGTAAATTGAAGGATATGACAAAACCAGTATCAGTGTCTTCAGTCCAAGTCAATCAATCCAGTTGATTCCCTGCTTTTGTAATCTATAGATTCCTTAGAAGTCTCCTTTTCATATTAATCCTTGTTCTCTACCTCCAAATTCACGTGTCTGAGTTGCCAAGTCTTTTATTATCAATTCAGGACTAACCCATGCACTAACAACAAAGTGTTGTCACTTCAACTCCTGACTGTGGAGCTTAGTAGGACATGAAGTATTTGCTCCTGTGGCGTAGACCCATTGAAGTTGTCTACTCACCTGTACAGCAGGGCATGATGTCATGCAGCACATTGCCATTCTCATTATTCTATGTATGCTAGGAATTGAGCCACTCAATAGTGCAGTCTACAATCCTACCTAAGCGGCCATACAGATCTGCCTTTCCAGTTGTGATTTCAGTTCTGTTGACATAACATAATTCTGATCTTCACAAAACGCCACACACACAATGAGTGTCAGGAAAAAAAAAGGAGCTTACATGTGCAAGTGGTACCATTTTCATCCAAAAGTTGGTTATCAGCACAAGCACACACGCGGCCTGCTGGGATGGATAGGCAGAGTGTGCCGCAGCCTCCATTGTTTATGCGGCACCTATTGTCACCTGCAGAGAAAAAGAAAGGAAATTGTCAGAGACCTTTGATTTCAGCAAGGGTGAAGTCCATGGAGCCTCTAAAATATGGTTTATTTTTAAGGCTATGTAATACAAGCTACCTTTCAACTCTCCTATTTTGTTTGTTTATTTGCTTTTGTCTACCACCCAACTGCTAAAATTACAGGCATGTACTGCCAAATATAGCTTTCAAGAATACCCTCATTCAGTGAAATATACACGGGGATATTACGTGCACAGTTATGTGATAAATAGTTCACCTTTGTGGATATAGTCAACACTCCTCCTGAATAGAAATGGCTTTCAGGAACATTAAAAAATATACATTGCACCAGGCTGTGGTGGCACACATCTTTAATCCCAGCACTCGGGAGGCAAAGGCAGGCGCATCTCTGTGAGTTTGAGACCAGCCTGGTCTACAAGAGCTAGTTCTAGGACAGGCTCCAAAGCCACAGATAAACCCTGTCTCGAAAAACAAATATATACATACATACATACATACATACATACATACATACATACGTACATACGTACATACATAGGTACGTACATACATACACACACACACACACACACACACACACACACACATATTGCTTTAGTAAGTAAGAGGACTATTTGGTAAGTAAGACGACTGTGTGCCAGGCAAACATTTTCTAGGCACCAGGAGCAAGGAGAAAGGTAGCCTTTGGTCTGTCATGGACAGTTCCCCGTATTATGTTCATAGCTGTGTGACATGAATGTTTGAAAAGCAGAGCATGTCTCTGAGAATGTGTATGGAAACCACACTGAATAAGAAAGCATGTATGTGGGACAGTGCCTTGTTCTTTAGTGAGATGAGTTTACTGGCATGTCATTGTGCTGAGGAACCCAAAAGCATGTGATACTGGGAAAATTCACAGCACACAAGAAAAGAAGTAATAGGTTAGAGACTTAGGGAACAGACACTGATGGAAGGCAGGAGAGGACATTTTTAAAGGAATTTGTAAGCATGTAAGGAGCCCAAGTTGATCACAGAAAAAAACATGGACATATTTGGAGAACATGGAGATAAAACTTTTATAGACATGTAGCTAAAACAAAGTAACTTTAGATAATAAGAAATTTGACGTCATTTATTCTTGCAAGTTGGACAGGGACTTGACAAAATGTATTAATCCAGGTGTCATGGCTTTTGCCTCTCAGGAGGTTAAGGTAAGAGGATTGCTGTGAGTTCTAAACCAGTCTGGATAACAGATCAAGCCCAAGAAGAGGAGAGCCTAGAGTGGCAGTCCAGAAAGAAAGACAGAAATAGACATACAGAGAGAGGGCAAAGAGGGAGGAAGTGTGTGAGAGAGAGAGATGAGAGAGGTTGCTTAACTTTGAGTCTGCCTTTACAGAGAGAACTATAAAACCCCAGAAGCACTTTGGCAGTGTGATTTTCAGTTTATCTTATAGCATGCTTCAATTTTCCATGTTAAAAATAAATAAAATGTTTTATTTTTTTAAAGAAAAGCAACAAAATGAAGAGCCTTTATTCACTTGGGCCATAAGCAATAAGCAGCTAGGATTAATTTGATAGTTCATGCACAATACTACCACTGAAACCACATGTGGGGCTATCACACTGTAGCCAAGAGGAGTTGAATTTTCATGGAGCCAGGAGAGATAATTCCTCCACAATGGTGTTGGATACTATAAATTCCTATGAATTCTCTTGTACATCTCAGATCAGAAGAAATAACCTAATTTTATTACCAATTCTTTTAATTTTATGAAAAGTACATTTAATTCATTATGAGCATAAAAATATTAAAGATGTTTCAAAGCTAAGGTGGCAAATAATGCAAGGAATGAGTTCAATTTCCAAACTAAGAAGATAATGAAAATGATTTCATTATTTTTTTTCTGCTAGGAAATGTGAAAATGTTTTATGCATCTCCCAGATGCCACATGTGTTTTCACTGATTAATGAATAAATATGAAAAACTTTAGAGGATGCTCATGTACCCTTTCCTTTCTGTGTTCACAATATGTGCAGCATTAAATTGTATATTCAACTTTGATTATCATCCAGATTTCAGAAAATTAGAATTATTTCATAATGTTTGGGAGCATATATAACTGAAACCATAAGAAATAATAAACTGTTGACTATAATGCATCAGGCTATATAATGTTTTATAGATCTTTGCTAAATATATAAATAAGTGGCATAACATATATTCCCACAGAATAAAAATTTCCATATTCAGAAATACATTAGCATTATTTAAAGTTTAAAATACATTCCTCTAATTTGAATACAACCTTCTGAAAAGGAAGAATTAGCATTTGTACTGCCATAATAGAAATCCAAAAGCTAAACTAACATGAATAGTTCCACATATCTTATTGGAAGAGCATAGAATTTTTTATATTTTAATTAATGAGTGTATTTTTCAATCATTCTAAGAATATATTACCATAAGAGCTAATGTTACATTGCTTCTTGAATGTAATTTTAAAGATAAATTATGAAATAATCTGCAGAAACAGTGCTGACTATTTTTCAAATTCAATGTCAAAAATAATCTATGCATTTCATGAAAATGGTGAGTAATATAGTAATTTCACAGTATATGAAAAAATCCTTATTGCATTTTTCTCATAGATGGTTACCTAGTATTTACAATCAACTTAATCTAACTATAGCTATAATAATATTTTAATTTGATTTTACACCTGTTGCAGGCAGGATCACTCCATATTTAAGTGTTCAAATGATGTTTCTCAGATGTAAAAATGAGAAATAATTAAACCTTACTAAAATTACCTTGTCTAATAATGTCTTTATCATTACTAATAAAAATGTAAGATTTTTGTATTTTAATAAATGCTTTCATTTAATTGAATTGTATAAGGTGAAATAAAATTTAATAAACAAAGAAAAACCACTACCAAACACTGCTGCAACATATATTTCTAGAGTTACTTACTTTGGAAGTGGATACATTTAAATATTCAAATATGAAATACAACTGTATTACTAACAATTTGTACTGTCAATTCCAAGGGAGTTTCTTTGAAGCCCCAAACATTGTCTTTTCTTCCCATTCATGATTCCTCCAGAGTTAGAAGTACTATGGATTATATGTGTCACATAGAGTTTTTGATGAATTATTGAAAGAGTGAAACTTTGAGTTAGCAATGTGAATGACAGAGCATTCAGTTTTCAGTGTAAATACAAGGTGTGAGCACAGAGATACATGTGGATATGTGTGTGAACATGGGGATAGATGCAGGTACAGGTGTGAGTGCAGGATGATGCGGATACAAGTGTGAGTTCAAAGACAGTTATAGATGCAGGTGTGGTACAGGGATAGACATAAATTCAGGTATGTATGCATGTGGTGCAGATATAGGTATAAGTCATGGATAGATGCTTCAGTTAAATGTAACAGTTAAAATGTATGATAAAATATATGTATTTTTATGTTTGATGCATAGATAGATGTAGAATCAGGTGGCAAAGAAGGATATATCTAGATATATGTCATTTTAGAGACATGTGTAGACACAGACTTGAGAGCATACAGAGGTGTAGACACGTGTCTGATTGCATGGAATGATGGCAATAAAATATGAATACACAGACGGATATAGATGTGAGTGTGCAGATATACAACAATTTTATCATGATGAATGTCCTCCTCATTCTCATTTTAACTTACTAATAAAACTGTGTTCAGTGAATATAACACATAGGGAAGAAAACTTATAGGTATATTACAACCTCCACTTAAGAATAATTAAGACACATATGATATATGAAAACATTTAGCATCTCTGTATTAATAGCTCAATGTTATGGACCTTATGAATTTAATCCCCAGCAAATGTTTATTTTTAGTAGTTGGTGGAATATGCTTCCATTACAAAACAATCTGTCTGCCTTATTTTTCTCTGATTCTCATTTTTTTTAAATATGGAAAACGTAAATTTTGCCTTTTATAATTTTCCAGGAATGTTCATTTTTCAGTGTTCTGTCGTATGTGAATTTACAAGTACATGCACAACATATGGAAAGTTCCATATTTGGATTTCGTTTTTATATTTAGTACAGTGTTATTTTAGTATATAAGTTAGAAGATATCCTGGACATTGTTGTTATTCTAAACATCAGAAAGGAACCAACAGACTGAGACACTGGTGTCAGATTAAACCTGAATTTAATACTTGGTCATTTCAGAGACAGTGACTTAACAGTTGGTCCAAAGAAAGGATAAAATGATCCATACCTTTCATTTCCTTTACAAATTATAATTTTGATATTATGCTTATATTTATCTTGATTTGGGACTACTTTGTAATACTCTGTGGGTATATGTTGTGTAATGATATGAAAGTGAAAAGAAAAAATAATATGGAAGAGTCTAGACAATATTTATGAGTTATTTCTATGATAATTATCTCAAAAATGGGGAATTTTAGGAGAGATGAATGTGATTATGACCCTGTTACAAACCCCAGACTTACTAAATCCACATTTAACACACACCAGGTAAAAACTGATGCCATGTGGAATGCTAGAGATATGACTTCAGATCTCTTACTCCTTAAATCTACATAATTAGTCAAGTAAAAATTTATATTAAAACAATGAAAATGAAAATTTTACTGTTGATATAAATACAGTTAAAAAACAGGTATTTCATCCAAACTTAGTTGTATACATCTTAATCCCAGCATTTTCCAGGTGTATGCAGGAAGATTAAGAGTTCAAAGTCAACCTCATCTACAGAGGAAGTTTAAAGTCAACCTGAGTTAATAAGGTATCTTATCTCAAAGTAAACCGCAACAATAATAATCAAACAAATAATATAACCAATTTAAAAGTAAGAAGTGAAACACATGTTTCATCCAGAAGTAATAATTACACTTTTAATCACAGGCTTAAGCTGGAGGATCTCAAGTTCAGGTGAAAAAACAAACAAAGGCAGTCAGGGATATGACTCAGAAGCACAAGCACAGAGACCTGAATTTGAATTCCCAGCAAATACATAAAAAGCCAGTACTGGTGTGTTGTTATTGCAGCGCGAAGGGAAAGGCATCAGGATCCAGGGAACTTCCTTAGTAACCAACCTAGGATTTAGAAGTCAAGATCAATGCAAGATAATTACAAAGTTTCAGTGAGAGACTCTATCTCCAAAAAGCAAGGAAGAGAACAATCAGAGAATACTTCCAGACATCTATCTCTGTTCTCCACATGCTAAGGAATCAGTGAGCACACCTTCACATACACATATCACACATACACATGCATGTATACATACAAACACACACTAATTGCTGCTCTATCTTATTTATCTATATTAATATAAGTATATAAATAATACATAAAATACTGTTCACACTAAAAATCTTTAGTCTATAAAGATTTTTGCTAGAGAGAGAAAGGGGAGAGGAGTAGGCAAGAAAGTCAGGAATAGACAGTGAAAAGCATGGCATGGGAGCTATGTAACATTTTTCCCCCACTGGAAGAAAAAATGGAAGGCCTACTCTCAAGGGAATCTGGTTGTCTACTCAGTTCCAGTGTTTTACCCTTTAGATAAAGAATAGATAACACAGGGCTGAAAAGATTGATCAGCACAAGAGTCAGATTTGATTCCCAGGACCCACATGACAGCTTGCAACCACCCGTAATTGAGAACTAACAACTTATTCTGGTCTGCTCGGGTACCAGGAATGAACATAGTGTACAGACATTTGTGCAGGAAAAAACATTCATACACATAACATAAAGTATTTTTAAAATCGTAATAGAAAGGATACCAAATATTATATTCACTGTGTATTTTAAAAATTTAGTGTCTTATATTCAAACGCTGAAAAGGAAAAGGACAATTGGAAGAAAAATGCACCAAAGTAGAATGAGTTGCCTATATCTTTAAACCTTAATTCCTTTTGCTTTGTAATTATCTTGTCTTGATCGATACAATTAAACATGGAAAACAACATATATCTTTTGCAGATTATCTAAAATCAATGAGTATTGACTCGAGTCCAAATGTACTAAGTAGGAATTCTTTCTATAATGTGCTATAGTTCAGTGATTGGTGTAGGTGTGGACAATCATTAGATGCAGAATGATTAGGTAGAAACTGAAGCTAATTGACTGGTCCACCTAAGTTAGTAAAACTAATCTATCAGTTGGAATGAACACATTTTCTAAGTAGAACAGAACAGAATTATTTCTAAGTGAGCATTCATAATGAGATTAGTAATTATACTCTCTTGAAATACAATGGTAAAAGAACTTTTTAAAAAAGCGATTCTTTATCCAATGCCAGTACTTACTAATTATAATCTAAGAATTTTTCAAAAAGCAGACATACAGCTCTGTTTGAGAAACCCAGTTTATTGCACATCACATTGAAAAGTTATTGCTTTGAATATTTAAGGGGCATTCATATGAAGAAAATTTTCAAATGATTATTTTTCCTATGGGGTGATAACTGAAAAAGTTGTGAATTGTCTCACAGGTGTTATATCTTGTGAGATTTATTTTTAATGTAATAAACGATTATTTGATTCTCACAACAATTTGGTAAAGGATATATTTCTGATCTACACTGAATATTTCATGATTCCAAAGTCTGAAATGATCACAGGCCAGTGTTTAAGCCAAGCCCATTTTATTGTGACTAGATATTTTTCTACCACATTTTGATTTTGATAACTAACTTTCTAAAACAAACAGAAGATTAAACTTGATGAATTCTGTAAAAAATGAATTCTGGCTCAAGGGAGTTGAGAAATGACATTTAGAGTAGGTAATGCTAGACACAGGAAGCAACTTAGTGGAAAAGCTCCTGCCTAGCAAGAATGAGCGCCAGGGTCCAGTCCTGAGGAGAAGGGGAAGAAGGGAGAGGAGGAAGTTAGGTTGTGGGAAGCGAGATGGGAGCCCTTACTGTATAACACAGGCAAATGAAATGTGTGCAGCCAAAGTTGTGAGATTGGTATGAATGCGAGGACAGAATTGCCCTCTCTAGCAATTTTCTCTATTATTCGTTCTTCTCCTTATACTAGTCCAGATAATACCAATTCTGTCCTTTTTTAAATATAATTTAATCATAATTAGACATTATTATTTAGCATTCTTTGCACTTGATTTGTCTGTGGATAGAACACTTTGAAAGCTGAGGCTCAGGAATGAGATGATCTGTTTAAGATAACTACTTTAATGCAGACACCTCGCAAAACCTTGCTGTTATTGAAATTCCTACTGACAAGCTATGTACCAGAAAATCAAGGGTGCAATATATTCAATCTAAATTTATTGGAATGCATGGTCATTAAATATTTATAAGCATATCTACATTATAAAGGAATGGCAACTATTTAAAAATCATAAAACATCTACCACATCATGTACTAAGTTGTTTTCAGTGCTTACTATCTAAGTTATGAGTCATGGTAATTGTGGTGGCATCATAAATATTAATAACTCATGAGAATAAAATGTAACAATGCTATCTGGTTTTAATGAGGTGTGGCTGTTGCAGTAGGCTGTTCCACTTTATCTTTACACTTTCTTTAACTGCATGTGGAGCCTCACCAAACAATGCAAAGCAGGCTTGTCGATAAGGCTTGCATGTGAAATTCATCCTTTTTACAATTATTCAATTCCTCTTTTCAGTGTAGGAAAGTTCTCACTGCTTACCCAACTATTCTTTGGTGATATATATATATATATATATATATATATATATATATGATTGTTTTTCATAACACAGGATGTGAAAAAATAAATGTTTGGGAAAATTGCCTGTTTTTCCTCACTCAAGCTACTTACAAACAAGAAATGTATTTTTATGGTATCAAGATCTAAGATTTGAATGACTCTACAGTGAGCTGGCAATGTTACATATATATATATATATATATATATATATATATATATGTATGTATATAAAACCACAAACATTATGCAATAAAACTTTGTGTTACTATAGTGAACTCTTACTACATGTGAAATGTTGAGAAATGTTTTGATCTTTTAATACCTTGTTGCTTTCGTGGATCATAAATCTGAAGCCCAAACAGGGGTGCTCTTTCATGTCTCAGCAATGTCACCTCACTGGTCATCAAATCTAGTTGAAAAATGGAACCATTCATGTAATCTGTCCAGAACACATAATTTCCATGATGCGATAATCCAAAAGGATGATTCAATTCTTTCCCACTGTAAACTATCTGTAAAATATGAAATAAACGTAAATATACTGCATAAACAAGACTATCTTTACAAACATAACTATTTAAGTAAATAGGATTTATATAACCATATCAGAGAACAATCTAATTACAGTCTTTTTTTTGTTTGTTTGTTTGTTTTTACGAGACAGGGTTTCTCTGTATTGTTTCGGAGGCTATCAGTCCCGCCTGGCCTTGAACGCACAGAGATCTGCCTGCCTCTGCCTCCCGAATGCTGGGATTAAAGGCGTGCGCCACCACCGCCCGGCTCTAATTACAGTCTTAACTCATACTTTATAAGAATAGATTTAAAGAAGAGACTTTTACAATATAGACTTTTTTTTCTAGTTTTGGGCATATGTAATTTGAAGAAGATAGTCAATACTTCATGTTTTCAAATTTCTCTCATAAATGCTTCTGCTGGTATGATCAAGAATGCAAACATTAAAATTTCTTCTGTGTGATATGAATTATTCCATTGGATGGAAGTTAATCAGAATATTACCATGCGGAAACATACATAAAAGCATATGTACACATGAAATCTCAAATTTGTGCATATATAAACACACATGTCCCTCAACGAATAATCAATTGACATGAAATGTTTAAGTGGGTGTGTTAATGGGGAAAGTCTTTCTAGATTAATTGGGCCAATGAATAATGAAGAAATCTAGGAAATAACAAGAAAGTGTATGCTTTTAATTCTATATAAATTTTGGTTGTGCTACTGAATTATTATTAAAATTCCTTCTGTGTGTTGAATTTGATGAATCAGGAGAACAATCATATCATCTTTCACGTGGAAATCATAGACAGTAAATGTGCTAGACCCCCAGAGGGTCTCACTTCTTACCTTTCATTACTTATAAAATCATACTGCATGCTATTATGAAAGCAATGTATTCTTTCAATCAATTCAAAATTTAAGCAACTTGTAAATACAATTTAGGAATGAAAATTGAAATTATGCTGTTTTTGTTTTGTGTTTTTGTTTTTGAAGCAGGGTTTCTCTGTGTAACAGCCCTGGCTGTCCTGGAAGTCAGGTTGCAGATCAGGCCAGCCTCAAACTCACAGAGATCTACCTGTCTCTGCCTTCTTAGTGCTGGGATTAAAACTGTCTGACACTACCACCTGGCAATTTTGCCCTTTTTAAATTAAATCCTCCAGTTAAATTAAGATATACTAAAAGAGTAAGATATATAAGAGCCTAATACATGATTACCATGAAATTACACACATTATGCATATCCTTTGAAGATATTAGTACATATTCAATACATATTGTATATAAGTGTGTGTGTGTGTTGTATATATGTAGTATACATATTAACATCTTATATAATATACTTAATATATATGGTATACAGAGTTATATATATTATAAAACACTATGGTCACTATAGATTTATATATATATGTGTGTATATATATAATCATACTGCATGCTATTATGAAAGCAATATATACTAACATGTTCAAAGAAAGAACAGTTATTTACTGAGTACATGTGAATTACATGGCATCATGGTACATGCCAACCAAGTTTATTTATCTTGGAAAACAGTTGAATATCATTTGTGATAACCAATGACCAAACTGATTACAATACTGTATGTATCTCAAAAAGAATTCTTAAAGGGTAGGATGAGCTCACCACTTAGGATTCATATGCAGAAAGAAAATTACATCAAGGATACATTTGGGAAACATCTAGCTTATATTTCTTTATCTTTTACCTCAAAGTTAATGTTTTCCACGGTGCTCTAGGTGGTTAATGACTGAAGACAAAGCTGCAAGGTGATTATTTTGTCAACTAGAGCTGTCTTTTCCTCAACTACACAATTGTCGGTATTTTTCCATATTATCAGAATGTTTTACAGGGATTTCAACAAAATAAACTAGAGCACATTCATATTTATTTGCACTGATAGCCTTGGAATTCATCCCATTCCTAGATGCATATCAGGTTGAGCATCACAAAGTTATTTACCCAAATGAATGCATTATAATTAGTTTGTCTAAATTTCAGCAACAAGTATTGAACATGTTCAAATAGAGAGGGCTTGCTTGGTCACAGTAAAGCTAGCAGTAATGTAGAAAAGCTGCATTGTAAAAACAGCTCTGTTACCTGGAGAGCTTCTTAAAACACACACACACACACACACACACACACACACACACACACACACACACAAATCTTGGCATAACATAGTGAACTGCGTCTTGCATCCCGGAGGCCAGTGCCAGCTGCCCAATTTAATACTCAGCTCCTTCAGCCACCCCATGGAGACTATTGGCAGCAACCCCAGAGGGGTAAAAATAAACTTGAAAGTATTTTTAACGCAACATAACAAGTCTCTGTGGAAGAAGAAGCCTGGGGGTTAAAAACAGCAGCACTTGTCTTTTACCTTTCTGTGAGTTCCATTCAAAAACACTTTTTCAATATGATCGTAGTAGGCATCACACCAATATAATGTGTTGGTGCGAAAGTCCAGCGTTAAGCCATTTGGCCACAGCATCTTTGAAGTCACAAAAATCTGTCGATTGAAGCCATCCATCCAAGCCTTCTCAATCCTTCCCACGCTGTCATCTATTTTATCTTCCTCCCAGTCTGTCCAATACATCCAACTAGGACATGAGAAACAAAAGTGTATTTTGTTATCTCCAGTAGCCACCCTGTAGAGAGCACTCCTCAGGTTTGGTTCTTCCAAACAATGACTTTCTGATATCTGCTATCTAAATACTTATCTTTCTGTACCAGGGTGCATCTGTGAAGCCATGTATGCAGACCACGTAGCCTCACCACAGAAAACCTACTACCAGCTACCATTCCACAAAAGATCACAGAAAACCTTCCAACAGCCACTGAGACTTATCTAATACAGTAATTGGAACGGAGGCAATTACCAAATATCTATTTTCTTTGCACCCTGATTTTTTATGCAGTATTACCTTTAAATGTTGTTCCACAAAATGCATAATTGGCTCAGTGATTAGAAGGCAGGCAGCTGACATGAGAACCCACAGCACAGTTAATGATTGACTCCAAACTTTATTTAATTCATATGAATTTTAGTTTTTTAGATAGGCAACTAGATTGCCTTTGTTCTAAAGGTCACAGTCATACAGGCTTTATTTGGCAAGATCCAATTTGTCTTCCTGATGCAAATTATCTATGCCTTATTGCGCCTTGTTATTACCCCAAATCCACAAAAGATGATTTAGCTGCACATAAGTTTAATAACAGCAGGATGACCGACCTTGAGATTTTGAGCTTTTAATTTCTATCTCAAACAAAACACCTCCCTTTAAACAGGAATCTTTTGTGTAAGCTGTAACAGTGGGAGAGTGAACCTGGAGCTACCGTTCCAATTCCCTCATGAATAAGCTTAAACCACACAATATGTGTTGTTCTAGGGTCATGTGAAAGTTCCTGTGCTATTAATTAAAGTGGGGTTTCATTTTGGCATTCCAGACACTGCTCTCTAAAGACTCAATGCTTATCTAAGCTGGGGGCCTTAAGAATGTCCCCTGATATCTTTCCCATCCTTGTGTGAACTCTGAGGAATTTCTGACATAATTTGGGTAAATCCTATATCTTGAGTAAGAATTCTACAAGGGTTCAAATTGGCTGATAAGTGAAAGATGAGAATATATCCTCCATTATTTTATATCAATTGAGTTTTATTTCAAATTACCTTAGCAGCTGACAATTATTTTGTTTGCCTGTTGAGACTGGATGGAGTATTAATCTGATGAATGTCAGTGTGTCTTGTTCTATCCTGCATTCCCTACAAGGGCTTTTATCATTGTGACAACTTAGGAACTAACAAAACAGAAGCTTTATTTTCTCTAATACCACGATCATGCACAAATGTTTCATTTCATTTATACAAATCAGCATGCATAAACTGTGTGATATTTCATCTTTAATGGCATTTTCTAAAATCATTATTTCATTTAATTAAAACAATTTTATTCTCATTACTAAATGACACATTTTTGAAGCTTGAATAATCTGTCCCCTCAGCACCTCCTGCTGATCATGACATATACCTTTTATAGTATCCTGTCAATAACTGTAGCTACATATCCTGATTCACAGACATAAATGTGTTCACATGAATACATATGCAATCGCCCACACACAAAACACAGGCTTGTGATGACTTGAACATCTTTTAAAGATGCTTACTGTTTTTTGCCGTTCAGTAAGGATTGAATGGAGCCCCAATTCAGCAGAGTCCTGTGTGAAGGTGCATTGTTGATAAGGGTATAGACTTGAAAAGGACTGAGGCCTTGGACCCATGGGAAATTGGCAAAACTTTTCCACATATGGCTCAAAAATTGGCAAAGCTTTCATCTCTGGTCAATTATGAGTGTTTACAGACAATTGATCAGTGTGTATGCAAACAAGCCAACTGCGGCTTCCTCATCTCCATGCTTACAGGCAGAGATTTGTACTCACAAAGACCTCCTACAGGGACTAGATAAGCCCTCCCTCTGTGATGTACATAATAAAAACACTGAGGTTCCCAGTCATTGTAGATGAGGCTGCATCAGAGCACACAGTCTGCCTGATTGCAAATTTTCTGTGTCTGTCATTCTTTTTTTTCTTACTTTTTTTTAAAATTAGAAACAAGCTTTCTTCACATGTCACTCCTAGCTCCCTCTTCCTCCCTACCTCTCCCATCCCCCACCAGCCCTCCCAGCCCACCACCCTGTCCTTACTCCCTTCCCCATAGGGGATCTCCAGAGTCTGTCATTTTGTTCAAGGCAGGGCCTAGGCCCTCCCCCAAGAGTAGGCGCTGAGAGAGCATCCCTCATTGTGGAATGGACACCCAAAGTCCATTTGTATGCCAGGGATAAATACTGATCTACTGCCCAGGACCCCATAGATTGTTCAGGCATCCTCACGGACACATTCAGGGGTCTGGATCAGTCCCATGCTGGCCTCCCAGCTGTCAGTCTGGGGTCCAAGGGCTCCCTCTTGTTCAGGTCAGCTGTTTCGGTAGGTTTCACCAGCCCGTCTAGACCCCTTTGCTTATCACTCCTCCTTCTCTGTCTCTGGGTACCAGGGATTCAGTGTTTAGCTGTGAGTGTCTGCCTCTGCTTCTATCAGCCACTGGATGAAGGTTGTAGGATGGCATATAAGGTAGTCATCAAACTCATTATCAGGGATGGGCATCTAAGGTAGTCTCTCCACTATGGCTTAGTTTGCCAGTTGGTGTCATATTTGTAGATCTCCATAGATCTCACTAGTGCCAGATCTCTCCTCAAACTTATAATAACTCCCTCTATTATGGTATTTCTCATCCTGTTCTCCTCTCTTCTTCCCCTGACTTAACCTTCTTGCTCCCCCATGACCTCCTCTCCCCTCCTCTTCTCATTTTTTCTTACTCTCACCACCCAGTAAGTTTACCCTAGCTAAGCTACAAAGATCAGGACACGGTTCAAATTAAGAATTGTTGTTAACTGATCTAGTACCTAAGTTTATTTTTAAACAGAAAAATATCAAAAAAGTATTTCTTTTTATTTCTGCTTTTCAGGTTTACATACACAAATACACATACACACATATTTAAATTTAGATTACATACATGAAAGATAAGTTAGTGTCTACCTTTCTGAGTTTAGCTTATTTTGCTCAACATGATGATCCACACATTAAAAAAACTTTTTAACAGACTGTGTTGGTCAGGTAGATGCCATGTGTCCGTGGAATTTTTGTGTTAAAATACTTAGGGCAAAGACGTGACCAATGGAAGGTCTGAGAAGAAAGAGTTCTCCAATGGAGGTGTTGCAGGTATGAGGGGAAAGGTATCCTGGCAGTAGAAGACAAAGTAATACCACAAAGTCACACTGCACAACAAACCTTACATGAAAGATTTATTGAAAGAAGCACAAGAGGGTGGCTGCCTATGCTCAGGGGAAAGCATCAGAAACCAAGCAGGAGGCAGGGTTTATATAGAGTTTATATGGGGTCAGAGTGTCCAAAGTGGGGATTTTTAGGATAGGGATTTTTGGAATTTCAAACCAAGCCTAGGGATTGGGGAGATTTTAAGTATGGGATTGGTGGTTTTTTGGGGGGAGGGGTTACGATACAGGGTTTCTCTGTATTGTTTCGGAGGCTATCGGTCCAGCCCGGCTATCGGTCACAGAGATCCACCTGCCTCTGCCTCCCGAGTGCTGGGATTAAAGACGTGCGCCACCACCGCCCGGCGGGATTGGTGGGTTTTGTTAGGATTTTAAACATAGAAGTGGGTTCACACCTTTTACCTTACATTCTCCTCTTTTTGTTTATTATCAAAAAATAACCAAAGGTTGGGAAAAATAGACCAATTCCTGTTGATTGGGGGCAGGGAAGTCCTTGGGGAAAATTTGCCTTTGATCATCAGGGTATAGTTGGAGCCATGGGCTTCTGTTTCTAAAGAATATGTTGGAATATGTTGTTGAATAAATCTAGACAAGAGTATAAAGCAGAATGTGCTGGTAGGATGAAGGAAAGTATGATGGAGGAATTAAGAAAGGCAGTATCCATCATTTCTTGGTCTTTTGGTTAAGATGAAGTAAAGTAAGGAAATACCCAATGTCATATTGGACTGCCAACAATCCGACATCTATAGGCATTGGGCTGTTCCTTATATTTTGGCAGGTCTCTCTGGAGTTTTCAGATTTTATATTTTTACTATATCCAACTAGTTGACAAAAGAGCAACATTCCTCCCCAAGGAAGAGTCAGAGGCCACTCATCTATCTTGTCAGCAAATGTAATCCTCACTGAATTTGTAACACTATGAAGCCAGTAGGGTTATTTGGCCCTGACGTGTGAGGGTGGTCTGAGTCACCCATTTAAGTCACCCTAGATAAACTGAGAGGAAAATTGGAATAAAAAGATAGGGAAGTAGTCATTCTGCTGTTTCAGTGGCAATACTAGCAGTCATTCCCAGGACCACAAGAAGGGATAAGATCTGAACCACTTGTTTGTTCTGCTTAGCTACTATAAGCCATGTGAGGAGATGTAGCAAACTTTTCTTCCTGGGTACCACCACTAACTTTGAAAAAAGGAACACCCCAGCATAATGTCCAGACCACCCAGCTGATAGGCAGTGTTGAATATTAATGCCTCAGATTCTCAAGGCATTGTGAATATTGAGACATAAGGGCTGGGTAGCAGTGTTCAGGGTCAAGGTATTGTTAAAGTCAGAGAAACCCAGTGTGTCCATAAGTTATGTGTTTGAGCAGTTAAAACAGCCTCTGATGTTGAAGAGAGAGAAATAGGAAAGTTAAGGGATTATAGAGGTATTTGGCTCAGAGGAGTTACTGGTGAACAGTGAAGTGAGAATCTTGTAGATCAATGAGTGAAGCCACAAATGGTGGCTGTGAGAGTTTTACTCCAGAGGGACACACAGCCAGCATTCTCCAAAATATCCAGGAAGAATATTGATTAATAGCTGATGCACAGAGGTTAAAGTCTGAAACAAGAGATGGAATGACACTGAGTTCAAAAAGGATGATGTTAGGGAGGAAGGACCTTTGAGGAGTTTGAACTATTTATTCTGCCTTGTTTATACCTAAAGGTTGAGAAAGTGGGGCAAATACATTTTGTATTGTTATTATGCTCTTTGG